GGTGGCTCAGTGGGCAGGGAGACGGTGCTCAGTGGGCAGGGAGACGGTGGCTCAGTGGGCAGGGAGACGGTGCTCAGTGGGCAGGGAGACGGTGCTCAGTGGGCAGGGAGACGGTGCTCAGTGGGCAGGGAGACGGTGGCTCAGTGGGCAGGGAGACGGTGCTCAGTGGGCAGGGAGACGGTGGCTCAGTGGGCAGGGAGACGGTGGCTCAGTGGGCAGGGAGACGGTGCTCAGTGGGCAGGGAGACGGTGCTCAGTGGGCAGGGAGATGAGGCTCAGTGGGCAGGGAGATGGTGCTCAGTGGGCAGGGAGATGGTGCTCAGTGGGCAGGGAGATGAGGCTCAGTGGGCAGGGAGATGGTGCTCAGTGGGCAGGGAGATGGTGCTCAGTGGGCAGGGAGATGAGGCTCAGTGGGCAGGGAGACGGTGCTCAGTGGGTAGGGAGACGGTGGCTCAGTGGGCAGGGAGACGGTGGCTCAGTGGGTAGGGAGACGGTGGCTCAGTGGGCAGGGAGACGGTGCTCAGTGGGCAGGGAGATGGTGCTCAGTGGGCGGGGAGATGATGGCTCAGTGGGCAGGGAGACGGTGGCTCAGTGGGCAGGGAGATGAGGCTCAGTGGGCAGGGAGACGGTGCTCAGTGGGCAGGGAGATGGTGCTCAGTGGGCGGGGAGATGATGGCTCAGTGGGTAGGGAGACGGTGCTCAGTGGGCAGGGAGACGGTGCTCAGTGGGCAGGGAGATGAGGCTCAGTGGGCAGGGAGATGGTGCTCAGTGGGCAGGGAGATGGTGCTCAGTGGGCAGGGAGATGGTGCTCAGTGGGCAGGGAGATGGTGCTCAGTGGGCGGGGAGATGGTGCTCAGTGGGCAGGGAGATGGTGCTCAGTGGGCAGGGAGATGGTGCTCAGTGGGCAGGGAGATGGTGCTCAGTGGGCAGGGAGATGGTGCTCAGTGGGCAGGGAGATGAGGCTCAGTGGGCAGGGAGATGGTGCTCAGTGGGCAGGGAGATGGTGCTCAGTGGGCAGGAGATGGTGCTCAGTGGGCAGGGAGATGGTGCTCAGTGGGCAGGGAGATGGTGCTCAGTGGGCAGGGAGATGAGGCTCAGTGGGCAGGGAGATGGTGCTCAGTGGGTAGGGAGACGGTGGCTCAGTGGGCAGGGAGACGGTGGCTCAGTGGGTAGGGAGACGGTGGCTCAGTGGGCAGGGAGACGGTGGCTCAGTGGGCAGGGAGATGGTGCTCAGTGGGCAGGGAGATGAGGCTCAGTGGGCAGGGAGATGAGGCTCAGTGGGCGGGGAGATGGTGCTCAGTGGGCAGGGAGATGGTGCTCAGTGGGCAGGGAGATGGTGCTCAGTGGGCAGGGAGATGGTGCTCAGTGGGCGGGGAGACGGTGCTCAGTGGGCGGGGAGATGATGGCTCAGTGGGTAGGGAGACGGTGGCTCAGTGGGCAGGGAGACGGTGGCTCAGTGGGTAGGGAGACGGTGGCTCAGTGGGCAGGGAGACGGTGGCTCAGTGGGCAGGGTTGCTGTACACAGTCCTGATGACTAGAGTTTGACCCTTGAAAGGTGGCAGAAGAGAACTGACACCAAGAGCTCTGACCTCACATGTGCACCTGCACTCACACATGTATACATTAAAGCACAGATGATTAAAATAAGATTAAAGAAAGAATAAAGCTATAGGATATATCTTTGAACCTACTCGTACAGATTTCAATAAAAACACTACCGGTCCCCATCTACAGCACATTACAAAGATGGGCACTATGATCAAGTGGAGTTCATCACAGGCGTGATTCAGCACATGCAAACTAATATATATATATAACCAATATGGTGAAGAACAAAACTATACTTTTTTACGTAGAGAAAGTAGTTCATTCCTGATAAAAACATTGTTAGCTGTTAGATGTAGAAGCTATGTCGGACAACAGGCCACAGCTGTCATTGTGCTCAGGAAACGTCCGCAGCAAGTCAAAGGCGTCTGCCGGCACCACTTTCGTTGCTGGGAGTCTTGGAGTCATCAGGAAAGCAAAAGAAGCAGTATAATCAGATTACAAGAGTTCAACGCTGCCACTCTTGCTGCAGAGCCTTTGTACAGAAACCCTGAAAAGCACTCTTGACCTGTTAAACCAAATCCACACATTCAGCAACATTGCAGGACAAGATACCAGCGCCTCACTGTCAGTAGTGAACTATCAGAGGACCTGGGAGTCATGGGAAATGTCTGGAAAGTTAGAATGGTGCCAGGGAGGGACTTGTGTGACAGTCTGAGATACTCCGGGCAATCTAAACATGGTTAGGACTGGTTAGGTGCCCAATATCTGTGAATCTGTGCCAGCCTGCCAACTCATTATAAGAACCAGATGAATATGTGTACGTCTGCCCTTAGCCTGTGTCAGTAAAGGAAACTTCCCTCCTGTGGCTCCTTCCTGGCCTTCCTAGTAGAGGGATGGAGCTGCCCTGCATATCTACTCGTAAGAAACTGGGCGAGTTTCCCATGGGATGTTGCTAGAAAGAAAAGGCCTTTGGTGGGTTTCATTACATTTTCTAAGCTGAAACCACTTCTTGTTGTTTGGAAAAGCAGCATATGTCTGAGATTAGGGATGGTTTGGAAAAAGACAGAGATTTAAAGTGTCCTCAGTAGAGGTAGGGTGGAGTGAGCATAAGTCCTGGCTTCCTCCTTCACCTCAGACAGGAAAAGGAAAAGCTAAAATGTACTAAGCAATGGAAAAGCAGTTATATTTGTAATTATTAAAAGAAGCGTATTTTGATGTGGTCAAATGTTTCAGTGTTGCAAATATGAACTCTTGACAGCAGGAGGAGATCAACCAAAATGGAAAATGAGTATATTAAAAGAAAAGTCTAAATGCTTAGCACTAATACAGAATTATGTGTGGGAGGAGAGATGTCAGATTAGCTATGCAAATGACATGAGGAGTTAGAAAATTAATGTCGCAAACTGTTATTTAAAAAATGCCACTCTAGAACACTGAATTCTGTTCACCCAGCATACTGTCTTTAGATGGAAGTCCTCCATGCTGTCTTCTGGTGGTGACCTGGGTATTGAGGACACAGCTTCAAATACACGAATATACACATGCTCAGATTGAGAGGAGCACTTTCCTTTTTTTTTTTTTTTTTTTTTTGGTTTTTCGAGACAGGGTTTCTCTGTGGCTTTGGAGGCTGTCCTGGCACTCGCTCTGTAGACCAGGCTGGCCTCGAACTCACAGAGATCCGCCTGCCTCTGCCTCCCGAGTGCTGGGATTAAAGGCGTGCGCCATCCGGCGAGAGGAGCACTTTCAACAGCTTAAGTGCATACGTACACATATGGCCCACTTGCAGGCTGCTCTTCTTTGTTGGGGTTGGGGTTGAGGTGGTTCCAGTGGCCAGGAACTCTTCTTGTCCCTATCTCCCAAGTGCCGGAGTCCTAGCCATGGTCACTGTGTTCTGACGGACCATGTTTGCTAAATGAATGACAGAGTTGTTTAAAATGAGACTGTGGTCCCCAGTATTTAAAATAAGTGCATGACTTGAAGTAGAGGAGGAACCCTCCTTCCTACCTGCTTTGCAGTTAATGCTTTTTTCTTTCTCTCCCGAGGGTTACCTCTGTATTTCCTTTTCTTTTCTTCACGTTGTATGGCTACATAGGATGATTTTTGGTTTTGTTTTTGGTGCTGTTAGCAGATACTCCAAACTGATTATACGGGGATGAGTCTTGCAGAGAGTTTTCTGTTGCTCATCTGCAGATGTCCATGTGCAAGAGTTTTATCCTGGAAATTTACCAAAATTTCTTGGATGTAGGACTTCATCAAATTTACCTGAAATTGCCAAACTACCAAAGTAATTATACCAATTTTGCCAGTGAGAGATTTGCTTCTTCACATCCTTTGGCCGTTAGGAGATTGAGCTATCTCGAGGTTTTTGTTTCAGGGTTGTGACCGCTGAAGTCGCAGCAGCTTTTCATGTGGCTGCAGCCTCTGTAACTCCTCTCACTTCCTCTTGTGAAACGCACGTGTTGCCCAGCTTAAAAAGAGAAGTTCAGCCTTTACGGCAGTCATTTTTATTTTGTGGTTGTGTGCTTCTCTCAGTCCTCTTTAGGGTTCCGGCTCAATCAGCAGTGTTAGCATTAGTCAGCTTTTCCTATGTGAGTAATCACGCCAGGACCGTGTGCCTCTAAGCACAGGCGCCACCGCCGAGCGCCAGGCTTTAGTTGGCTGATTTCACCTGTGGAACTTCCCTGTCCTAGTAACCTGTAATGAAAAAAGGAGATGGCAACATCTCATAGTTCTTTGGAGACTTAGCTTCACTGTTGTTATAATAGCCCTTTAACTGTGACCATTTAATCTGAGCCTTTAAGTTACTTCTGTATTGCTTCTTTCAGTGAACCTTTTTAATTTGGAATCTTCTGGTTCCCTTGGGCTGGTGCATGCTTTTCCCTCTTCCTCCTTTTTTGTTGGGGGGGGTGTTGTTGGTGGGTGTTGGTGGTAGGTGTTGGTGGTGGGTGGTAGGGTGTTGTTGTTGGTGGGGTGTTGGTATTGGTGTTAGTTTTGTCATTGGTGGGGTGGTGGTGGTGGGGTGTTGGTATTGGTGTTGGTGTTCTGTCGTTGGTGGGGTGGTGGTGGTGGGCGTGTAGGGGTTTTGGGAGTGTTGTTGGTAAGCGTGGTAGTCTCAGTTCAGAGTATGTGGCTGACTAACCAGATCTTCCCTGGAGGGGAACCTGGAGGAATGATGTCAGATGGATGCTAATTACCTTGTGAAGTACAGAATAAATTCTGCCCTGCTTGAGGAGGAGAGAGGAAAGTGCTCAGAGATGTGCGGTGATCAGCTCCGGCAAAGTGGGCAGGGGCAGGGTATGGTGGATTCTCCGGCACTAGGGCGTGGAGGGAGACAGAGTGACCCGGGCCTGTGTCTTTTCTCTGACTGTGGAGCACAGTTCACTTGCCCCCCCCAGTGCTAACAGAAATGCATTCTGTGGTAGTCCTGGGCTCTAAAGCAAGTCTTTCTTTTAGGTCTGTCTGCGGCCCAGCGGAAGTTTGCCCACTCGCTCAGGGACTTCAAGTTCGAGTTTATCGGGGATGCGGAGACGGATGATGAGCGCTGCATAGGTGAGGGAGGGCGAGGGCGGGCTTGCCTCCCCGCCACACCCAGCACAGACTCACGCCTTTCTCCTTACAGACGCTTCCTTACGGGAATTCTCCAACTTTTTGAAGAATCTGGAAGAACAGAGAGAGATCATGGTGAGTATCGGGGATGAAGATATATTGAGTAACAGTTTCCAGGAGGGTTCAGTCTGGGCTGTGCAGCTGGGCTGGACACAAGTTTTGATGCATTTGGTACTTTTCGATGGGAGGGGCTATGGTTGGGGTTTCTCAGCTCTGGTTTCTGGGTCCATGGTGGTGCTGACAGAGGTCAGTTCTTGGGTGAGGTTCTGGACCTCTAGGCACCTGTAGCCTAGAAGGTGGGTGCTGGTTTGCCTTTGCTGACAGAACCTTTGGCTTGCATAGATGCCATGCAGACGCTGAACATAGCCTCAGGCTGAAGGCAGGAATGCGTACTTGGAGGTAGAGGGAGCGGAAGGATTTTGAGCCATAGCTCTGTGGACTCGTACTTTATGAGGGTGACAGAGCTCAGACCTGGACGTCTCTGAAGTTCCTCTGCCCTGGGTTGATGCGATCGGGATTCTAATGAGAGAGCCTCTCCAGCAGGCTGCTCTGTGCTCCACGTGCCTGAGTCCTTTGCTGACTACCCCGGGGACTCAGCAATGAGGTTGTGTGTGTGTGTGGTTACATGATATCTGCCTTTCTTGTACGTTTGTGTGTCTTTTCCAATTAAACAAAGATTCACAGTATGCTCACCCACTTTTCCCATACTGTTCCCACTCACTCCCCCCCTCCTTCCGAGCTTTAAAATAATTAGAACTTGTGGAAGACACAGAAAAGTTTTCTAAAATCTCATCATTTTCACCATGCCCTACATTCTGAGATATTTTCTAGATGTTAAAAATTCCATGTAGGGTGGGGCAGTGTTGGCACACACCTTTAATCCCAGCACTTGGGAGCCAGAGGGAGACGGATCTGTGAGTTCGAGACCATCCTGGTCTACACAGAGAGAGTTCCAGCTCAGCCAGGGCTACACAGAGAAACCCTGTCCTCAAAAAACCAAAAACAGGCAAGCAGGCAGTCCATGGATGGAGCTGGGAAGATGAGACCACTTGGTAAATTGCTTGGCTCACGAGTGTAGTGACTCAGGTTAGGCTGCCTGGCCTCATGAAGGAAGGTTGGGGGTGCAGCATTGTGCACATGTGATCCAGAGCGGTGCAGGTAGGAGGATCCTGGAGCCCGCTGGCTAGAGAGTGACCGAATTGGTGAGCTGCTGACTCAATGAGACCTGCCCTCAAAACTGAAGGCGTGCAAGTAATTGAGCAAGTCACCTCCTGTTGGCCTTTGACCCATGTATACACCTATGTAAACACATGTATCTGCAAAGAGGTGTGTACACATATGACCATATACACGTAGCACACCCAGAATTTCGTGTCGTGCATGTGAAGATAGTGTTTCTTGGACACACTCTGATAGTTTCAATTAGTGTTTGTATAATGTTAGCCACTCATTTCTCAGCTGCTTTGTAAAGACTAAATATGACAGTAGATCAAAATAGTGCTACGACATCACCTTTCTGCACGGTGTGAAGTGAACGCACGGGGGGGTGGTGGTGGTGGTGGTGGGGGTGGGCTGGTGATGGTATGTTAGATTGCACAAGAGGTGTGTATGTGTGTGTTTGACATTTAGCATTCTTCTCTGGGATCCTGAGCATGTGACCGGCATTTATTGATCTTCTATGTTCTTACTGGTTGGAATCTGAGGGCTTGGCAGCAAACATTGCAGAGCCCCTGCACCCACAGTTTTATGTGCTGGCGAAGGAGGCGGTGGTTAGACATACCCGCCATCAGGCAGGGCATGGGTATGAAGCTGAGGCTGAGCTGGGCAGATGCATTGCACAAAGTGGTGAGGGTCGTTTTGGGAAAGGACTGTTAGGGAGTCTGGTGTGTGCAGGAAGGGGTTCTAGGTGGAGCGGGGCTGGGGTTAGACTTTACAGAAATGCCACGTGACTACTTTCTGCCTTGATGGTCTCTTTCTGCCTGGGTTTCTCGGAGTGATTTGATGAGCTCAGGAAACTGGATTGTGGTCCTGGACTCTGATACAGATATCAGTTCACAGAGATGCTGTTCGCTGATCACCGACTTAATCTCAGCTGTGGTGGCCGCTGACAGTGTCTCTGTCTGAGGTTAAGATGAGCGTAAGATGGCTGCGTTTCTGGGGCAGGGCAGATGTGAGAACAGGATTGTGTCTGTGGAAGGCTTTGAACATCAGAGAAGAATGGTACACCATGTTAAAACTGACATGTGGGCTGGGCAGTGGTGGTGCCTGACTTTAATCCTGGCACCGGGGAGACAGAGGCAGGCGGATCTCTGTGAGATTGAGACCAGTCTGGTCTACAAAGACAGAGAAACCCTGTCTTGAAAAACCAAACCAAACCCCCCAAAACCCACAAAACTGGTTTGTGGGAACATAAATACCTCCTGGAGAGGAAGTAGTGGGACAGCCACAGGCACCCAAAGACGTGAACAAGACACTCCAGTTTAGTTGAGGAAATTGAAAGCATTACGAGAATACCGTGTTAAATTGCATGCTCTCAGCACCCAGTGTGACATCTGATCCTGTTTCTCCCGTATTCCTAATTCCCCTGTTGGCATTTTGGTCGGATTTCGGCACCAAATGTAAGCATTTCGGGATGGGTCAGGGCAGGATGGAACAGGAGTGGGTCAGGTATTCTGGTACTCAGGAGTCACAGAATACTCAGTGTTACACAGCTCAGGTGGAAAGGTATCCTGGAGCTCGGGAGCCAAGGATCACCACAGGTTGGAGTAAGCTTAGCAGCTTACAAGCCTTGCCTCAGAGAAAGGCTTCTCCAGTGTATCAGCTCCGCTCAGGCAGGACAGGGTCTTCCAGCTGGGCATGTTTGCCCAGTATAGCAGTTTTGCTCGGTGAAGTCGCTACAGTTCAGCTCTGCTCCTGGAGAGCAGAGAGCGGAGCGGGGAGCAGAGTGTAACAACTCCGCTCTTCCAAGGGAAGGTTTCCCGGGCAAGAGTTACAGCCCTGCTCCCTCTGCTCTGCTCTGCCCAGGGTCGTCTCTGCTCCGTTGCCACCGAAAAGAAGATCTCCACCCAAAGCTCATTGAAGGTGTTTATTGGGAGGGAAGAATCCAGGAGAGTGGCTACCCTCTGCCAGAGTGGCAGAGGACAGCCAGGTAGCATGAACAGACACAAGCTGAACAGACACAGGGTTTATATAGGGCTTCCAGGGTGGGGATTGGTCAGATTTTAGTGCTGAGCTCAGATTGGCTAGAGCTCTGCTCAGGGATTGGTTAGTTTTCTGCACAGGATTAGGGTCAGATTTGGCTCCAGTTTCAGGGCCAAAGTGTGTTTCTTTCTCTGGTCCTTTTTAGCCTTTTGGCTCTAATTTTAGGGCCAGGGTGCATTTCTCTCACTGACTCTGATTCCAGGGACAAAGTGTGTTCCTTTGGCACTGGTTTCAGGGTCAGGGTACATTTCTTTGGTTCTGGTTGCAGGGCCAAAGTGTGTTTCTTTGGCTCTGCTCAGGGTGTGTTTCTTTGACTGGACCCTTTTCCCTACATAAGGAAGGTCTGTTGTGCAGCCTAGGTTGTTCTCAAGCCTGTAGTCACCCTGCTTTTGCTAGGTGTGCACTGTCACATGCAGTGATACTCTCTGCTGGCGTGTAACGCGTCTGTAGACGTTCCCCGAGTCACCATAGGGTGCAGCAGTGAAATTAATAAACGCTGAAAGATGTGTGCCATCTATCCACACTATCATCAAGTGACCTCTGTGGTCTTCTGAGACTACCTCTTTTTTAAGTGAGAAAACTGGATGGAATTCATCATGGCTGCCTTTGTGTCTTTAAAGCCCCTTGAAAGCTTGTGAAGAAACCATTGCGACATTGGTGGGTAGGACAGCTGTAAACTTTGAATAAGAGCAGATAGGTACCTGGAGACAGTTTCAGGGTGGTCCTGGAGAGTAGCTGGTAATTGGCCGGTTAATTAAAATAGACGAAAGTATGCCATGCTGTTGGCGGGGGAGGGGAGACTGGAAGCTGGGCCTGGGAGGAGTGGGCCCAGGCATAGGAGGTCCTCAGTGCTCTCAGAAGCTGCTCTCTCCTAAGCACATCAGCCAGGAGCGGCGTTGAGCAGCTAACCCGAATGCAGGTGCAGAGCAGACTACAGCCAACACGTCTCTTAGGATGAGGGTCAGCTAGCAGCGTGCTGAAAGCCATGGGTTGGGAAAGGAAAGTGGAAGGGGACAGCTGTGAAATTGTATCTGGGAAGCTTAGTGTAATTTAGTGAGTATTAAATCTTCCAATGTAATTAGTGTTCATAGTTAAGACTTAATCAGTAAAATGGAAAAAAACAGTTAAAGTTTGTAGAGGGCCAAGTGATGTGGGAAGTCCCGTGTATATGTCAATAAAGCACTGTTGGCCAATAGGGAAGCAAGATAGGTGGGACTAGGAGTTGAGGAGGATTCTGGGTAGGAGAAACACAGGGAGTCAAGATGTAACCGCCATAGGGGTAAGAAGCCCGGAAACTTTTCTCCGGTAAGAGAAATACTTAGATTAACAATTATGGGGTAAATACTTAAGTCAGAGCTAGCCAGTAAGAAACAAGCAAGGCCAACAGCTTCATAACTAATACAGCGTCTCCTGTGTGTTATTTGGGGACTACAACACGGCAGAGCCCAGGCGACCAGTGGGGAAAAACCAAAGCAGCTGACTAGGAAAAGGCTTCTCTCTACAAATGGTGTCAGGAGTGGGATTCGAAATGTCGTAGGAAGTTTTTTACTGAGCAGTACTTTGGGCGCAGCAGTTGGCCAAAACTCCCCATTTGCTTAAGCCGACAGCATCGTGTTCATGTGCCTAGTCTATAACTGGGGGGGGCATATTTAGTTCAGCAAATATCACTGTATGCTTACTACATGCTAGCTGCCATGTTGTGACAGTGATAGCACAGGTCTTCCTCTTGATGGTCATGAGCACGTATACTCAGTAATTTTATAGTAACAGAGGCATGGGAATTCAGGGATGTCTCCTGGAGAGGTGGGTGATGAGCTGAGCTGAAATGCTAGGCCTTCCTGAGGGGAAAACTGGATGCATTTGGGAAAGAAGTA